AGTGATTATCTTATATGTAAGCAGTGATTATCTTATCTGTAAGCAGTGATTATCTTATGTGTAAGTAGTGATTATCTTATGTGTAAGCAGTGATTATCTTTCCCCCTCTCACTTTTTCACATTTAGGCTGTCCATTTGGCTAGATAAGTGTAACCATAGTTGACAGGGGATGTCAGTCTGTATGGGGTCCCTTGATGTGATGTTCAAATGAGATGCCACTGTAGTATATAATGAAATAGCCCCCGATTTGACGCATTAACCAGTGCACATCGTCGCCAGTATAACATTTCATAGTGTGTAATGGCAGGCAAATATTTCAAAATCCTTAACAAATAACAAAATAAAACTAGAACGAATTTTGCTCAACTGGAACTGTGGTCCATATTATCAATGTATGAAATTATATCATCCAATGTCTACATGAAAACACGAAACGTACATCATCTATATTAGTAACCCATAGTCATACCCGTCGACCTAGATATCGAGCACAGTGCATACATATTACTAAATGATGTATTTTTTATATGAAATATTCAAAAATCAAACGTGACCAACCTCGACCTCAATTAAACTAAAATGAGGTCACTATGCCAATTATGTCACTGCTAATTTTAGTCTGGGTATTTCCGTCGATCGCTCAGTATCTAAATATACATCAATACACATGTTCTATTTGTGTACAAGTACACGTAACTCGAGTACATGATCAATACAACCTTGCTAGCAATTATACTTGTCGAGCTCAACAAAACACGCATCGATTTATTAACAATATATAAAATGAGCCTTTGTTTGCAAAACATTTTTTCATAAACCTAGACACAATGAAACGAACACGAAAGGAATCTGTCATAGTTACTTTTAAAAATTGTGTACATTCTTTGAACAATAGGGCTTATTAAATACACGACTGTGTTGTCTTTGAGCATCATATCGGTTGATTAATAAAATATTATACACAATAACGTAATAACGCCAATAAGATATAGGCAAGTATATATCACCCATGTTCATGACTTCCTGGTTTGTTTTCTTAATCTCATTAAAGATTCAAGTCAAGCTACGTTTCGTACTTTACATCGACATGTGCCTCCACTCCTAAAGAATTTCACATTTCACAAGAAATCTGCTAAATATGTAATTATATAAAAATGTATATTTTCACAAATAAAATAATAAACTAGAATGAAATTATAAATGTGTAATTTTATCTATAGATATTTTCTTTTATCGGTAATTTGGCCATCTAAATATCTACATAATTCAATCAAAACACTTATCATATTCATCAAAACGAGAAGTATTCTAATATCTTCTTTAACCTATAAATTGAAAAACGTTGTGTACGTTCTTGTCTTTCGTAACAGTATCAATGGAAAGCCTGTGGCTTGTAGTGATGTTATTAATCTGCATTCCGTTAATTGATGGGTTACTCATCCAGTTATCGACTGTACAGACGAGAATGTTCTGGTATTCAAATCGATTAACAATGTAATGCATGGGATGACATTGGGCATTAGTTATGACTGTAAACTGTATTCTTGTATAGAAATGGATAGATTTAGGAACTAATTTTGATCCTAATTGTTTTCTGCTGAAAGTCATATTTTGCATATTACTGGAACTCTACATTGAGTTGGTAATAATTTGATGACCAATACACACACTCTATTTATAGTAACAAACGTCACCACTGTATATGTTTTGGACCATATAGCTACCAACAGAGACGTATTATACGTCTCTGCTACCAATCACAAGATTTTTTCAGAATTTTAATGTACAGTAAATATATGTTTATTGTACATGAAAAAATGTTTTTACATGTAACTGCATGTCAATTTTAATATATGCATTCATAGCCTAAAAACAATCACGCCATTGCTATTTTTAGAACCTAACATTGTAAACACCATATGAGTCAGAGGTTTAGACATACAATACTTGTATAGGTTAATAATCCACTGTTTGCTTTCTTATCAAGATGACTTGGAATTAACATGGTTTGATTTTAGATATAAAAGGAGGTTCGGAGAGGAAGAAATACAGCTGTCAATTGATGAATCAGTGCTGTGATTGTATGGACTAAACCTGATTTCCATGTAACATTCCTTTGTTTAATATATATAAAAAATTGACAAATGTCATATCATTATTAAAATGACAATGTTATTAGTACCAAACGGTCCCCAGTAAACCACAAATTCCTTGTTCTATGTAGCTACCTAAATAACAACTTATATTGGATCGACGTTTGGGCCATACCACTATATATATGTGTATAAGTTTACCAAACACAACATAATAGTTTCCGTGGAACTCTGCCAAAACATGAATTAAACAGACATAAAGGGTACCTGTGTTTTGTTATTCCTCTCTAACAAAACATTTGCGCTGCATATGGCAAGGTAAATGTTGGTTTGTATTATGTATGAGCGGGATCTTAAAGGCATATGAACAAGAGGCCCAGAGGGCCTGTATCGCTCACCTGGATACCTTAGCAATCATGGCAAAATATTCTCCAAATGAGATCAAGGGAATATGCCAGACCCCAAGGCCAATCCATGTAGCATAACTGTATTAGATTTTGTCATGCCCAGCAATTTTATGTATGGTTATGGGGTGGGGATCTCAACTGTTTCCAAGCTTTGACACAGAAACTAGGTCCCTAGGGTTGTGGCCAGACCCCAGGATCAATTCTAATATCGTGACTGCATTTGTCTCTTTATGCCCAATAATTGTATATATAGTTTTGGGGTAGGGATCTTAACCATTTCGAAGTTATGACCCAGGGGTTAAGTCTCCAAGTGTGGGGCAGTCCCTAAGGCCATCCTGGAAGCATATGTGCAATCATCTTTTTATACTCAGCAATTGTATATACAGTTTTAAGGTGGGGCTCTCAGCTGTTTCTAAGCTGTGACTAAGAAACTAGGTCCCTAGGGGTTCGGTCAGACCCCAGGGTCTATTCTGATATCATGACTGCATTCGTCTCTTTATGCCCAGCATTTGTATATATAGTTTTGGGGTGGGGATCTCAACANAATCAAATGAGCAATCTTCTCTTTATACTCAGCAATTGTATACCATAATTATATGGTGGGGATCTCAACTATTTCCAAGTAATACACTTTTTTGGCCCCACCCCTTAGCCTGGGGGGTCAACCCCACCATTTGTACAATTTTGAATCCCTGCCTCCCATGAATGTTTCCACCCAAATATGATCAATATCCATGGCATAGTTCTACAGAGGAAGTCGCTTAAAGCAATATAGCCAAATAACCCTTTTATAACACCTAGGGATGCTTCCAGTCAAATATGGTTGATATCCACTTCTTAGTTCTAGAGAAGAAGTCACTTAAAGCAATATAGCAAAATTTACCCCTTGTGGCCCCACCCCTCAACCCCCTGGGAGGTCAGCCCCATCATTTGTGCAATTTTGAATCCCCACCACCTAGGGACGATTCCAGTCAAATATGGTTGATACCCACTTTTTAGTTCCAGAGAAGAAGTCACTTAAAGCAATATAGCCANACTTAAATCAATATAGCCAAATTGACCCCTTTTGGCCCTGCCCCTCAGCCCCATCATTTGTACAATTTTGAATCCCCACCACCTAGGGATTCTTCCAGTCAAATTTAGTTAAATTCCAATCAGTGGTTAAGAAGAAGTCGTTTAAAGAAATTGTTGACGTACGGACGGACGACGGACGCAACGGTATGGCATAAGCTCACCTTGGTCCTTCGGACCAGGTGAGCTAATAAAAGAACAAATGCTATTGGTTGCCGGCAATGGAAATGTTTTCCTATCAGAACCCACAGAGGAAATGTCACATTGCCCAAGGCATGTTGGATTTCTGGCAGGTTGGTCCCCTCTATGAAAGTGGTTCAAAACTTTTCACTTTTTTTGGTATGGGAGAAATGGAGATTTATATGTTAAATTTATTCTACAATGTGATAACTGTATTTCATTCACCTGTTATAGTTCAGTATATTTTATATCACTTTTTTCTTTCCAAAAGAGATAGCATTCTGTTGAATTTGTTTTACCTGTGGTCATACACAAGAGTTCATACATTTCACAAATCTGATCCATGGATATATATGGACCAGTTATAACGTGTAGGAAATTTGAAAGTTCCCTCAACTTCGTTGTAGTTAATTATATATTTAAAAGGACAACATTTTCGTGTTCTCTACCAATTATGAAATAGGGTTACACTTTGCCTGTTCTTGTCTGAAGATAAAACATTATTATCGTATAATAGACTACCAAAGGGAGAATGTCTTGGTAATCCTTACGATGTTATCAAAGGAATCACGGTGTCGCATAAATAAATTAAATGGCTTGTTCGTGAAAATTTATAATTCATATTTTGTTGTTGTAAATACTGTTTTGCTTAGTGTCCTATATGTTGGGTTTCAATATATATTTTGTGTGCCTGGTTTCTTATTTAGAACCGATTTTTTGAATCATTTTCATTTTTGTATTTCAAACTAACTAAATAATCTCTTAACGATACATAAATTAAAATAATGTTCCAACCATTTTTTCAGTCATGCATAACAATTTTATTAAACTGTTACACAATATAACACAAGACATTTTACAATACATATATAAACATATTCATTTGTTAATATGCTCGCAAAATAGACCTTATCAAATATTTTCGAACAAGAAAATATTTCTTCGATAATATTATCGAATACATAAATGTCTATGACATTAAAAATGCACGCCCCCTATATTTTTGTAATAGATACATTCCAGAATATTTATTGATAAGTAGATATCAACAGGTAAGTAACTGTCATAAAACGTCAATGCACAAATGTTCAAAGGATGGTTAGCTTAACCAGAAATTTACACAACATGTTCACCTAGTTTTAAGTACAAAAACGTTGAAATTCGAAAGTAAATATAATTTTTAGGAGTTGAAAATCATCTTCTGAAGATGAAAACACAAACAAAATGGTAAAAAGCTTTCTGATATTTCTAAAAAAAAAAAAAAAAAAAAAGAGCACATTCTAAAAATATGCATGAACGACTCGTTAAGCTGACCGGCCTTTGAACAGAACCGAAAGTTGAATGGCACATGAGACATCCATGATCCTAATAACGATGTCTGGCTGTATCCAATGGTAACTATATTGACATATAACGATTTTTTACCCAAGACATAATAATTAACGTGATGAGTAATGTTTCATCACGATTTTTCGAGTAAGATAGTACCATGGTTACTCCCTACCTTGTAAATATATCTCAAGTTTATTTTTGTTTCTTAATATCACAGATAGCTTTATATAGATGTTACGTCCTGCTATACCATAATCTCACAATTATATCAAGTTTGTCCATCACACACGCTATCAGCGTGCAAACTTTTCGGTCCATTCTTTAGCATTCTTATTATATTTAGCCAAGTCATGTTCGTACAGCTTGGCAATTTCCGGTACAAGAGGATCTCGGGGATTAGGGTCCGCCATTAAAGAACTTAAAGACAATAGAACTGAAACAAAAAATAAAATAAATTGTAAAATATGTTTACTAGAATTTCACACATCATTATTACATCATTACTTAAGTGATAATAGTGACCGAATGCAGTTTTTGAGGAAAATTGAATAAAGTATGAATAATATTTCTGTTAAAAAGTGAGCTTACACCCGTTGTTACGAATAATTGTGGTTCCCAACACTCCTGAAGGTTATGGGTAAAAATTGCATTTGTTTCATGAAAACCTCCGACCGTTCCAATCATTTGATATTAATTCATATAAAACACTCATATATATGTTTGTTATAAACGTTTTGTATTCATCTGATTCAGGTTAATTTCACATTCTATTATTAATTGACATTTTTCATGGGTTCACTGCAGAGTGCTGGTTAACCCTTTCACCCCTATATAACTTTAGTAGACTCTACCATACATTGATCTGAATGAGCCCATTATGGTCTACAGTGGTGAAAGGGTTCGATATTCGTCTGTGCTGTGCACATTTCATATAAACATGCTATAAGAGATACATGTACCATGTACGTTCGATTTCAATATATATTACCTTTATTAACAGTTATCGCCGGTGACCACTGTGATCTTAAAATGTCGACGCATATACTTCCATTACTGTTGATATTAGGATGATATATTTTTGTTGTAAATCTGATCTGCAATTAAAAAGTAGCATGTATTAAATACGAGAACATATAAAGACATTTAGACTTAATATTATTCACTTAATCTGGTTGGTAGACAACCAATTGATAAGTATTGCGGGCATGCATTCAAAATTGTGTTAACAATTTGTTATATAGATTTGTTTTAACAATAGATATATAAATATTTCCTAATTCTTTTAACAATTGATATATAAATATTTCCTTAAGCCTATTTAGCACTATATTTTATTTATTTAGCTATATAGATTATCCCTCTTACTATAACTCCTTTTAATCATAATGACGAGAAAGAAGTTATTCCTGAAAATATATAATTCCCACATTTGTTCTATTGACTTACTGTAGGTGCCTTGAACGGATAGTCTGTAGGGAACTTCATGTCAAGAAAAAATATACCTCCAGCATATGGCGTTCCTTCCTGTTTAATAAGAAAAAAAATGCTTTATAAAACACTGTTCTGTTGAACGAATGATGATTTGGCTTTTTCACATGATTTTTGATAATAAAATGATCAACAAATCATGTAACTTAACAAATTTTTGCTATAGAAATCTTAAGAGCTTCATAATTAACATAGTACACATAAGAGGGATAAAGAGACAGACAGATAGAGACATTTTACATTTTGTCCAATTTTCTTTCCTTGTACAAGAATTATATCTCCAAATATGATAAAAGTTTCAACATCCATTATAAAATGATACATATTAAAATGAAAATTTATCATTATCACAATCACCAAAGTAGATGTAAACATACTTACTGGTCCAAATATTGAAGCTTGCCAATGGTATACTGCAATAAATAACATAATTATATATTAAATCATATCAAGTGCAGGTCACTAGTACACAATAACAAACTGATATTTCCGCTTTACTCATAAATGAGATATAAACACTTTTACAGTAAATATCCTCAATAATAGTTACGACAGATTTAGTCATCATTGTTTCTATTCCAGAACGTATGCCTGTTTATAACACCCTGTTGTGCATACATATCATGAACACAGTTTATCATGTGTATACTATGATTCTATGAATGAGGAAATGGAAACTCAATCCGATGTGCAGAATTAAGGGTAGGCACTGTTCCGACTTAAGATTTCATAACGTGAATACATAATGACTGACTTTTTTTTCTCCTGCCTCTTACCTGCAGGTTTAATAAAGATCATATTTCACAACGTCAGCCAACAAGGAACTGAATATTCTAAACGTTTGTATCTTTACATTAGAACTTCACTGTAAGAGAAACACTTTGTTGGTCCTTTATGTCAGTTTCCGGACTAGTTATAGGGGGAAGGGGTATATATTGATTTAACATTTGGAAGGAATTTAACAAAAATATGTAAATCAAGATATGCTTAATTACAAACGTGAATCAAAATATTCTTAGTTACAAACGTGAATCAAAATATTCTTAGTTACAAACGTGAATCAAGATATGCTGAATTACAAACATGATTCAAAATATTCTTAATTACGAACGTAAAACAATATATGCTTCATTACAAACAGAAGCAAGTACTTACTGTCATCACCAACAAGCCCAGCGGAACAATTCTCTGGGGGGTCACTCTGCATTTCCATTAGTTCCTGAAATTACATATTCATTAAAATAATGGCTTATTATGATAATATATCTAACCGTTATATCGGGTGGCTTACTCAGCATCGACATTATTTCTAGAATTACATACTTATAGCAGTAAGTACATAGACGATACTTCCCGAACGATGGCTTATCATGGTTATGTCTAACAGTGATCTGGTCGATAACAAATGACGGGTTATCAGGAACAGTAACCCCAAACGAATCACCCTGCATTGACACAAGTTTAAGAAATGAAATAGTTTTATGACTAGGTAACTTGAATGCATCGTCGGATACCCACGGTCGAATGCGCTACACTTACCAACCGTGGGTTATGCTTGATGATAATTACAAATGATCTAGTGTCCGCTTTTCTCTCAGCTAATATGCATCATCGTTATTGAGAAAGACAACTGTTATATACCGACAAGTGAACAAGACGTGGAGAGGGCATGTATCGCTCACCTGTTTCTTTTGTTACATGAAACTGACATAAAGGTAACTTCAGACCAAATTTGGTAACTAAAACACAAGACATTTTGACATCTCTTAAACGCTTCTTAAGATATTGTTGTTTGAAATTGGAGTGTGAAATTGTAATTTTAAAGATTTTAACCCACGTTGACCTTTGACTGACTAGCAATTAAAGTTGACATTTGACCTCATTACTGTAATTAAGAAAAAGATTCACACTGCTGGTCTTTATAACATACCCAAGTAACATGACTCTAGACCAAATGCTTCTTAGGATATTGTCGTTTGAATTTTTTAACATATTTGACCCCTGTGAACTTAAAAGTATGTCAAGGTCATTTTAATGAGGAGAGTTTATAGCACTCAAACCTAGGTACTTACTGGCCAAATATCATGACCCTAGGTCCTCCAGTTCTTCAGAAGAAGTCGTTTAAAAGAAAAGAAAAATGATGCGCGGACGACAGACAGACGACGGACGCCGCAGCACGGCATAAGCGGCCCTTTGTGCCAGGTGAGTTAATAAGCGATCAATTATCAAAGTCATACAATTCATTTTCTCTCATAACCCACACTAGTTGTTATACCCGATAAGACGGTAAAATAGCAGAAACGCATTTATCATGGTTGATGAACAAAAGAACCGACATTATATACTAGAATTCAATGACTCTTCGGCAGAGAAATATTAAGGTTAAGTCTAACTTAAGATTCATATAAATCACATCCGGATAAAATATCATTGTTAATATGTTTTCAATCTACTAGCTGTTCCCTAGATACAATGTTAACATATTACCTCTTTCACTACTGTAGACCATAATGGACTCATCCAGATCTACGTACAATATTTCGTAATCGTGTATTTTTTTTTAATGTTCAGACACAGATATTTTGATGTACGTTTGGATAAATGTACGCTGTGTCTTAACATATCAAAAAATAACGATTACATATCATGTACACTTTTAAGGAAGTTCTTTAAATTACGAAGCAAGAAAACTCAGCTTCTGTATACAAGGAAAATATCTCTCTCCTGTAGTTTGACCTAAATAGCTCTAGTACATCATGATCACTATGGCCGCCGTATACGAATACGGGAAAATCCACATACACCACAATCTCGCTATCAATGTCATTCTCGCTATCAATGTCAACATAAGTATGGTATCAATTGAAACAAATATTTCCATTACCTTCTTGAGTCGTTTGTTGTTAGTACCCATATTTTCAGTGTATGATGTGGTTGTATCGTTTGATAATGACGCGTACTACCGTCAGAAGATTTCACAGCTTTGCCGCAGCGAGGCAAACCGCACCTATACCAATACACACATTCTATATAAAGTAACACACGTCACGATCGTGTATGATTGGTCCTTACCAGACTTGTTTGGATCAATTACACGCCCGATAATACGTACATATGGGTGTTCATACGTAAATGAAGGTCATTTTAAACATAATTTGAACTCAAGCTTGAAGTTTTCATTCAATTCCAAAATGATAAAAATGGGACTCGTCATTACTATTTTTAACTAAAGATTACTCAGAAAGGAAATTCTCAAAAAGAAGCTAAAAATAGAAAATTGCCAATCGTGGAAATTTTCCGCTAATCAGCCGTCGTGCATCTGTCTGTTAGGCATCAACATCTTTTCATTAAACGCTTTCTGTTTTATGAACTAATACGCCTATTATAATTATATCACAGGGCTCAAATATATTAAGTTGTATGTTTTAAATTCTTCTGAATAAGCAAGAAACTCTTCAATGGTCATAAAATGTGCTTGTAGCATATATACTGGGAGAAAGGGCTATTGAGCTTGTTCAAATGAATATTCTTCACCCCTTAAAGGTCACAGGGGTCAAATGTCAAACATTCTGTAAACTTCTTCTACAGAACCAAGACGCCTGAGATGTTGAATTTCGCCCTCTGTAATTTTAGGGTGAAAATCTTTCCAGTAGCGCCTTGACCGTCTTCTAAGGACACATACTTTCCAACTTTAAACGACTCTTTTGATTAACCGCCAAAGGGCGAGCTAGTGTCAATGGTATTTTGCCAATTTCCTGCAATGGGCAGGCGCGGATTTAGAGGGGGGGGGGGGGGGGGGGGGGG